TTATTCATATCAGTAATTTTCTCATCCATATCAAACGGAAATTGGTCGATAGGTTATGCAAATTAGAAACATTTTCTAAGGCAATGAAGCCGAGACGTCCTCATAAATTGGACTGTGTGATATTCTGAGCTGCACACTCAAATCCTAGATGCCTGAAGGAACCACCATTCAAAAATGAACAAATGTAACATAAGTAGAGCATTAAACATTAGGATCGACGACACAGGTATCAAAAGAGTAACACACTGTAATGCCATTAGATTTTATGAATGAATTTAGTGCATCAATTTTTCCTCACATCAGGATCTAGGTATGAGACTTCTCCGAACATCGACAGGCATTTGGAATCTCATCTGAAAGTGAAACTTACAGCGAGAGATTGTGACGGGAAGCAATGCCAGTCTTCTGATCAATATCGCGGATGTGAATGCTTCGAACGAGTTGAATGCAAACGAAATCGACAATTCCAGTTCCACTTGGAACGGAAGTCAGGTTGAGTTCGGCAATTCGACTGTGAATGAGATATTCGAACTGAAAAATATGAGCTTAAGCGGAAATGAAAACTTCACCGCCGAGGAGCTCGAGACTATCTCACAAGGTGGAAATGGCAGTTTCAGTATTGACGAGTTAGGCACTATAGCATCATCCACGAATGAAACCCTTAGCAGTGGGGAACACGAAGGTGTAGGCAAAATTGCGCTAGGGAACAACATTACAACGGATGAAACGACCGTAAGTGGAATTTCGACTACAAGCGAAGTGGTGAGCACTACGAATGGAAGCGACGATGCAAATGATGAGAAATCACACGGTGATGAGAATGGAACGACGACGCACGTTACCGAAGCTAGCATTACCTCAACAAGTGCTGACCAAATTTCGACTGGCAACGAAGTCCCGGACGGAAGCAAACCCCCAAGCGATAGAAATCTCCCAGGTGGCAGTAATATCTCAGGCGAGAGCGAAACTTCAAGCGGAAACAAACGTCCGGATGAGAGCGAAATTCCAAGCGAAACTGAAGTCCCAACTTCAAGTACTGGCAATAAAGTAGAGCCTAACTACAGGAGAAAAGTTTCTAATGCTGCAGCATCCACCATACTCAACCGCATCTTGGTTTTATTAATGGGTTTTATTGTGTTTTTTATGTGAACGTGGTGATGTTCATCGACTGTATATATCTTACTAGTAATATTCATTTTCATAATTGTTTTCCATTCTTCATCGTTCATTGTATTCTGTCTGATATTGAAGTGTGTGAATTCAAGTACAGGAGAGTTTATTAGAGATGCATCCTTATCCAGTTGCACTTTTGTACAAAACTCAATTCCCGATGTTGGTTCATCTGAAACATAAAAATTTTGAACCTATCTTGAATCAGATCAATTTTAGTTCGTGTTGATAGCGTAGTGAACTATGTCGATCATGTTACAGTGAGGCATTCCAGTAATTAATAGAATATGCAACATATTCGCCATATGTGTAAATGAATACCATTTCAATATTCTCAATATTTCGTTCGATTAACTCAGTATCCGTAATCATTTGTAAGATAATTGGCTTTATTACACATTAGTTATCGATATTCTTCAACATTATCACAGTCATGTCACAGTCAAATAAGACATCCTTCTTTCCGAACATGCTCCCTCATAAGCATTTGCATTTGTGAAAATTTTCGAGCAGTCCGCGGAGAAGGAACGAGAATTAACGTAGTTATACATTTGGTTCAGAAGATTTCGTTGAAGGCGTATTCTTAGCGAATTTCTTGTGGTTCATGAGAAGCCCAGATAAGAAGCTGTTTCTGAGCCCTTATTAATCGTTGAAAAGTGCGATATCCAAGAAGTGGGTTAACTTTAGGATGAGATGTCTCGAGAAAGCACGTTTCATTCACATCAACTAATTTCATTGTCCAATCCTAAAACCACAATACCTACTGTATGTGTTCCTAAAATTTTCGATGACTACGTTGTTCAGTTGGAAATTTTTATTCGTCTCATCTATCGGTGTCATAAGCTGTTAGGAACGAGCACATTCAAACACGCTATGGAAACAACCTGACCATGCAAACAAGCTGATCAACCAGATTCTTTAGCTCCACAACTTGACGACCAACGGGAACAATGTTCTGCATGGATCCCAAATATCCCTACTACGTATCTTCGTTTGTTCCCAAGTTATGGTATTGGACAAGATTATCACCGTTGTATTATCAGTCATTCAGATGCTGTTCGGATTTTGTCATGATTTTATGATTAGGTCACCGATTCGGGAGCACTTCTCGGCACTGACATCAATATTTGACCGGTTTTTCTGTCAGCATTCGTTTTTGAGCTGTTCTCACTTTCCATTATGCGAATCCTTGTTAATATTTATGTAATAAATCTTACCAAAATCGTGTTAAATTAACAAACTATGATGCGAAGAAATGAATCATATTTTCAGAATCAGCGTAAAAAGCTGCTCTACAATCCTTAGAAAAATCCTGTTCCAATTTTATTCCATCTCTATGTTTATTCCAATATCGAAGATTTTTCCCTGTAAACGGTAATATTCAATTTCAACGTGCTTTCCAATAGTATCGATGCTATCATCTCGATAGTTCTATCAAAATAACCATAATTACCATGTAGGCCATCATCTTTTATAACTCTACAACCGCACAGGAGATCACCTCTTATCAATATCGTAATATCGAGTGCTACTCTGAATTGGTGATGGCTTTACTTTAGACAAACTGTTCTTTTCCTGTTCTGTTCATGTTCTCTTCCTAGAAATGGGACAGAACGACTTCCGAAAAGCGATGCGCGGAAGAACAAGACAGCACACTTTGTGGAAGAGAAACATTCCTCCCTGAAAGTGCAAGACCCCTACATGGACCCATCAGTGATGATAGAAAGGTTGATTTCAGGTGGA